ACAACCCCTATTTAATCATTCTTCGATTGAATGGTGTGAGAAAGCACAGGTCTCACACATTCGAATTGAAGGGTTATTAAATAATGGAAGACCCCAAAATTTGGACCAAAGATTATTAAATAAGGATACACTGATATATCATACCCAAGAGCTCAAAGAAATGGTCAAAGACAATGATGTATCATCCTACCGGATTTTGGATAAAGAGATAGGCAAAGATCATGATGTATCATCCTACCAGAGTTAGAGCAAAAAGTGAAATTGGTATAGATATGACGATGCAGATAACTCGCCAATACCTAGAAAAGAGATCATAGATTTTTGCACATTTACCATAACCTAGTAGGTAAATAACATAAGTTGAAAAGTTGATAACTTATTTCTGCATTGAGACTGATGCAACAAGCTATATCACAGTTACAGAGTAAACAATATTAGTTTGAAATTTGCTCACTAACGCTTTGAGACTAACATAGTAAGCTAATAATGCAGATTTTGCATATTCATCGCAACCTAGGGGATGAATAACACAGAGTCTGATAATCCATTGCCGCATGGAGACTAATACAATGAATTATATTACAGAGAGACAAATGACCTATTGCTGCTTTGAGAGTAACGCAATGAGTTATATTGTAGATTTCGTACATCTACTACAACCTAGGGAGTAGACAAAATGGGTTGAAAATATCTTACTATAGAGACTAACATAATAAGGCATTGCTAGTGTACTTTTCATGTCCTAGAGGATAAGTACATAGACTTGATAATTCACTACCGCTTAGAGACTGACACACAGAACTATACTGCAAATTCACATACCTATCACAACACAGGGGATAAATACTATGGGTTTGAAGTTTGAATTTTGAGTTTGATAACCAAATCCTAGATAATTAAACCAAAGATGTAGATCATAGATATACCTATTGTGTTTGTTCTCCACTAAGGTATTTGCTAAATAAGATAAAAGTTTTTCGTATATTTACCATAACCTAGGAGGTAAATAATATGAGTTTGTGAAGTTGATTTACTAATGCTTCGAGACTAAAATAGTAAGTTTATAATGCAGATTTTGTCTATTCATGGAAACCTAGAGGATGAATAAAACAATTTTGATAATGCATCGCTGCATGGAGACTCATGTGATGAATCATACTGCAGATTTTGTTATGTTTACTACAACCTAGGGAGTAAACAGTACGAGGATGAACCTGTGCATTTATCACGACCTATGGGATAAAAGACAACAAAGATATGCTTATGTTATTCATCACAACCTAGGGGATGAATAGTATAACCTTGAAAATTCGTATACCTATCGTAACCTAAGGGATATATATTTGAAGAATTTGTATGTTTACCATAACCTAGGGGATATACGGTACAAATATAGATTCACGTAATCATTACAACCTAGGGAATGAATAATGTGAGCCTGGTTATTCGCACACCTACCACAACCTAGGGGATAAATGATTGAAAAATGTTTTGGTGATCGAATCATAGATAACTAGATCAAAGGTGAGATTAGAGTTTTACCGGTTATGTCTATTCTCAACCAAGATAATAGCTTGCTTTGATAATCAAACAAATGGCCCCAAGGCTTCGCTGATGATGTCAGTTGTGATTGTTCTCAACCAAGACTATGAACATGAAGAAATGAACCCCAAATTCATTGAGGATGTCAGTTGCGTTTGTTCTCAACCAAGACTATCAACATGAAGAAATGAACCCCAAAATGTTGACGATGATGTCAGTTGTGTCTATTCTCAACCAAGACTATCAACATGAAGAAATGAACCCCATTACTAATGAAGCCGGTTGTGTCTTCTCCCAACCGAGGCTTGATCAACATGATAACCAAATGAAATTGAAAGTTTTTGAAAGGTTTGAACTTGAAAACTTTGAATTTGATAATTTCAAGTGTAATTCCCGGAGGCTGGTGATGACTAGGCTTTGGATATGAATCGTAGGTAAGCTGCATAGTGAAATTTTGATAGCAATACCTCTAATGGTTGTGTCTTTTCTCAACCGAGGTGGCTACAGTGATAGTACGAAGAATGGAAAGTGCTAAGCTTGGATCTTGGATGTTGAGTGCGTCTTAGCTGGCTAGTATGCCTTGAGATTTTTTGCAGTTTTCATGGGCATATATGATTTAATGTAATGAATGTATGCATGTTTGATATAATTATGCTTGATGTATGCATGATGCATGACATTTATGCTTGATATGATAATTTTATGAATTAAAATGATGCAATGATTGATAAATGCAATACCCATGTTATTTGAACTGCAGATGTCAAGATAGGCTTCCAGACGAGAACCAGAGATATGAATTAGCTTCCAAATAGAAATTGGAACACTATCCAGATGGGAACTGGATTTTTGAAATGATGTGCCAGACAGGAACTGGGCTTTACACTAATGTTAATAGGGCTACTGGAATAGTATCAACTTGGAAAGGTGAAATAGACAGCAAGGTCGCTAATATCGGTAAGGTCGCTGGAAGACGTCGATAAAGTGATTGGAAGGTGTGAGGCTGCTCATGACTTTTACATAAAGCTGCTTAAGTATGGACATCTGATGAACACATGAAGTTGCTCATGCCTTGTAGGGCTACCCATAAATGAATAGTGGATGAGGTCGCGTGAGGCTGCTCACGTCTTGGACGGTTGTACGTAAGGCTGCCTACGATTCAATTTGACGAAGAAATGCTTGTATCATAGAATCAATGAGAGGGATAGTCAGAGAGATGTTAGAGATTGAAATAATGACTCCCCTACAAATTGACTCTAGATTCTTACGAGGTCCTAAGTCTCGGTCTATGATATCTTATGCATGCATGCAGATGTAGGTGTTAATACGTAGAATGACTGACTAATGCATGTAATGATTGACTTGGATATGCGTCAATGGATGTTGGAATTATGATGTGCCAATGAGAATTGGGCTCTTTGTTAGATTTATGCTGTCAGAAGTCGTCAGTCGGATGGGATAATAAGTATAGTTTGGTTCTGGATCAAAGTAACCTAATGAATGCACAACAATGATTTATGCAGACTCATATGCTTTTGACTCATATCCTTTAATTTTGAAAGATGCGCCCCTCAATCTCCAGGATCTGGAGGAAGTACCCTCAGAAAGAACGTAGACCTCACCATGAACTTGACATAGATTTCCCCAAGTATTCGAAGCTTGAAAAGTTTGTATTTAAAGTTGCTTGAAGGGAAATTTGGACGCTACGCTACATGCAGTAGGATGAACTTGATACGTACATCCCTAACATTTGAGTATTTGAAGGTTACCCCTGATTATCAAGGCCCTGAGAAGTTTGTTAAAACGAGGAAACTGAGTCATACCCTATTTTAATATGACTTGATTAAGGAATACTCCTTCGAAAGGTATACCCCTGATTGAACAACGTTTTGAAACTTGATCCAAGTTGATTGAATCTCGGAATGATCACCCCTTGTAAATAGTATCTTCATGTGATATACCCCTACGATCATTAGTCTTGCCTATGACCATAATGTAGCGGTAGAAATGTTGAGACTAAGCTATTAGATTGACTTAACTCGCACAGATTAAATAAAAATTGCCACTATGATTTATTGTTTTTAGAGGAATGGGAAAAGAGCTAATAACCCAAAAATGAAAGAGGGGGAGAGAATTTAGGTACGAGGGTTGGTTATGCAAAGGGAAAGTATTTGCACCCTAAACATAAGCCAAATACCAGAAAAGAAGTATTGACAATTTTTGTTCAGAATTTTTTGATGCATAAAAGTATTTTTTTAATTAATAAAAACCACTCAAATAAGTGAAAAATAATAATAAATAACAAAAAGTAAAATTAAATTCCGAAAAAATTACACAGTCAGAAATGAGATAAATGAATTTTATGATTTTTTTTTAGAATTTTCGGACGAAAACTGAATCTGTTATGAATTTTAGAAGATAAAAACGAATTAAAATTGAAATAGTAAAAGGAAAATTAAAATAGAAAATTTTCAGCCATCGATCAAGTCAATGGACAATTTTACTTAAAGATCAATGATTCAGAAAATGAGTACACAACAGTATTCATATAGAAATGCACAGGGAATTGAGTTTCAGGTCACCATGTTGGTGTGATGACAAGTGGCTCTGATGACCACTTGTCATCCACCCAAATGCCGACACAGATCTCGAGGCACAATGATAGGATACGACAAAAAAACAAAAAAAGAAGCGGCCAATGTGTTGTCTAATGTTAACGTTACAACAACTATTAACTTTATTTTAAGGAGAAACAAAATCTCTCTGCCTTGGTTATCTCATCTTCCTCTTCCTCTGATCATTATACAGTATCACCATTTCATTCTTTGTTTTCTTTTTAACAAACAAGAATAGAATAAAAAAAAGGGAGAGAGAAAAACAAGCAGGGCGGGGAGAAAGATGATTACGGTGGTGACGATGAAGCTGGCGGTGGCGCCACTACAACTTGCTCTGATCTCTGATTTTTTCATGTCAACGGTTTCGTCTTTTCCTTCTGAGTACAAATCCATGGTTTGATTTTGTAGAAACTTGACGGTTTGACCGAGATCTTGAAAGGAGAAACGAAACCCTAGCGTTGTGATCACGAAGATCCTTCGTTGTTTGGGTGAGATCTTTCCGATTGTCTCTTCTTCTTTCTCTGTAATTCGTGAAATTTATGAAGGGTTTGGATTTTGGAAAATGATGAGTAGAAATAGGGTTTGATAGCTTGCTGCGGTTTCTGTGATTTTTTGTGAATAGTTTTTTTTTTTGAAGGGTTTTGTGAAAGGAAGATGATGATCACAACTAAGTTTTTGTGTTTGCACTACTTCTATATCGTGAAAAATCTCCCATTTTCAGTGCCAATTGGTTGCCTTTATACCGATAAGATTGAATTAGAGTTTCTGTTTATGGAATGTGATGTTAACAGGCCTTGAGGCATTTTCCATTTGGGCTATGCGAATCTGATATGTTTACTTTGTCTAATTTTTCTTGTTTGTTGCTTGGGCTGATATGCTGTGAATGTGATGCTGGACTTTACCGAGTTTGCAATTATGATTCAGACCTCTTGTAATTTTGTCTTTTGTGAACCAACTTTGCTTGTGATTTTCCATAGATAGAGTTAGGCCCATGATTAAACCAAAATTCTGATTAATGTTATGTAACAAATGAGGCCTTTGCTTGTTGGGCTGGAAATCTGATTTCTGACTTTGTTCTCTTTCTGAGATGTGGATTTCTGATACGTTATTTTTTGGATCCATTGCTTGACAGACTTAAACCAAATCTGACTTGGGCTTTGGTAATTTTTGTGTTGCTTTTCTGTGACGCGAACATGTTACTACACTGACTATGGTTTTGTTTTTGCTATTGGGCTGGAGTTGTGATTCCTGACTTGTTTTTATTTTTCCTTGCTGAACCGTGATGCTATACTGGACTTGAAAAATGCAATTTTTGTACTGCTAACTATGATGAAATCTTGAGTTTATTATTTTTGTACCTCCTTTGTGAACCAAAATTAGTTTGTTATTTGCAATGGATGGAGTTAGGTCTATGATTTAGTATTGAAATTTTGATTATGTTGTAAAACAAAAGTATGAGGCCCATTGTTGGATTTGTGAATATGAAAACCAACCCATAATCTGATTCCTATCACAAACCCTCATGATGAGATTTGCAAAGAAACCTTGTATGGAATCTTGTTCATATTTTGATGATCATGTTGTTAACAATTTTTCCTTTTCATGTGTCATGTGACGGTAACTATTGTGAGGACGGAAAGACAAGAAGAAGAGGAATCTGTGAACTTAACATGAAGTTCGAAAGGAGATGACAACTTGAAGTTTGGAGGATAAAGCTAGCAATGGAGAATTTTCGAAGTATGAGTTTAGATGGCCATGAAATTTGAATGTCCCTTTTTTTGTTTAAATCTTTAGGCAATAGGATGTTTAGGTTGAATTCTTGGATGAAACATGTAACTTGTAGAACTTGGTTAATACTTGGTAATTTGTTACATTTGAATTCAAATTCTCTACAACTCTAAATTGTAGACATATTAGAACTTGGATGAAATTTGGCTTCTTGGATTTTTGAATTTCCACTTGGAATTATGCCTTGTAATGTTTGAAAATTTTGAATAATATTGAACTTAAAGGTTTAACCTTGAGAAGTCTTGTAACATGAAGTATTGAACTTTGAAATTTGCATAAGACTTGGATTTATTATAAATGAATGATGTAACTTGAAATTGATGACTTGAATTCTCTTACAACTTGATGGAGTTTCTTGAAGCAAAAAGTGTTTGAAATCTTTGATGAATATCTTAAATTTCAAGGAACATGAATCTTAAAATTTTGCACTTGAATTAATTCTTTAGATCAAGATGTACATTTTGCCCTTTGAATTCAAAATAATCCACATGGGTGGTCTTAAATGAAATTGATGAGATTGAATCATTTGATCTTAAAAAACTTGGATTTGAAAGAAATACTTGAAATTGAGACGACTTGAATTTTCCTTTAACTTGTAAATTCCGAACTCATGAAACTGAGAATTTCCTCCATCTTTATAATTTTTGAGCTTTAGACATAAAGTCTTTATATTTTGAGTAACACAAAATTCAAAATAAATGAATCTTCTATACTCGAAACAATTAAACTTAGGAGTCGGTCTTTAAGAATATCTCAAACCAAAACATCAAAAATTTTTTTTTCAAGAAATAACCCAAGTTCCGTTTGAAAATTTGGTGAGATTTCCATCCATAGCAAAAAATACTTTAACTTGGTGCCTAAACCTCAAACGCGAGAAATCGACATCTCAAGAAAGTAGCCATGGTATTAATTGAAATTAGAGGTAAAAAATGACCTATAATGTTCCAAAAGAAATCGTAACTTTCTAAGCACAATTTTTTCGACCTTTAAAGAAAACTTAGGTGACATCATGAAGAGTATCATGCAAAAAGAATCAACCCAAAATGATGAAGATCGAAAGAATTATGATCTTTGAAAGTTGGACGAAAGTCATGTGAATTTAGGTCAAAGTCACAGAACGACCTCCAATGTACTCAAACCTTTGATAGCCTTCTACACATAATTAGCTCTTGACTTGAAAAAAGAAATTGGAGATGATGTCAAGGAGATTCATATGCTAGAAGAATCGCTCAAAAATACTGAACAATGAAGAAGTTATGATTATTTGAACTCAAACTTGTAAATATTGACTTTCAGTCAACCAACTTTGAATTAACTACAGTCTTTGTCTTTCTTCACAACCCAAGGAACTCTTAATCACCCATGAAATTTAGATGGTGAAATCTTGATTAAACCATATTCACACTAGTCAGAACTTGAGATTACTCGTCGAATAAGGCATGGAAATAAACACATGAACCTATCTCGAAGAGTCTTGAGACGTTAAGCAACCAAACTCGCCTTAACCATGCCAACTGAAGTTTCAGGAGCGTGACCTAAAATTATAGATCATTACTCTGAAACATGGGATTTTGGGAACTATATTTATCCTGAACAAACCACAACCCTAATCGGAGAGCCATCACCAGAACTCCTTGATCCGAAACCCTATCTTCTAAATCAAACAAAAATACACAAGACATATTTTGTATTTTGGTTTGAGGTCAGTAAAATATAAAACACATGTATACAAGATACACAATTAGGGTGCTTGGTAATACCTCAAGAGCAAACTTAAAGATAGGAAACAGTAGAAGTGATAACCAAACCTAATGTGTGATCTTGATGCATTGTGATGGTATGAGATGATAGAGGGATACTAGGCGCATAAATTGGGGTATAACAAATATCCTTATTTAAGTGTCTTCTATCCGGAGATACGAAAGTTAAAATCTTCTTCTCGACACGATTGAAGATACTTAAATATAAAACAAGCCCTATTTTTTGGCCCTAAGATTCCATGCAATGCTTATGATTATGCATGAAAACAAACAACTCCAAAGGTGACATAGAACACCATTAGGGATGAGGGTAATAAAATAAAGGATCAAAAGAAAGTCCGACCAGGAAAATAAATCACTGGTGAACAGAAGACTTGAATCTACTAGATTAAAACCCAAGGAGGAGACGAAGGCATCATCAACTCAAATATTGAGGAAAAAGTAATGGATGACAAAGATCGACAAATAACTGCAAACTGCCCACTCATAGAGAAGATAGCAAAAAAGTAACGTCGACTCACAGGGAAAAGAAATGGTAAGATAACACTGTTAAATACTAATATTAGGATAGGTAACAAATGATTAGCATCAGTACTTGTGACTAACAACAAATGAACTTCTTTAGAGCGAAGTGAATCTCAAGGACGAACTATCTCCCATAATGACGAGACTATCATTCATCGGAGTAATAATGCTTAACAATGAACTATCTTCCATAATGACAAGACTATCATCCATTGGAGTAAAACAAATATCAACAATGAACTATCTCCCATAATGACAAGACTACCATCCCTTGGAGTAAAACAAATCTAAAAAATGAACTATCTCCCATAATGACAAGACTACCATCCATTGGAGTAAAACAAATCTCAACAATGAACTATCTCCCATAATTACGAAACTATCATTCATCGGAGTAACAAATCTCAACAACGAACTATCTCCCATAATGACGAGACTACCATTCATCGAAGTACCAAATCTCAACAACAAAATATCTCCCATAATGACGAGACTACCATTCATCGGAGTAACAAATCTAAAAAATGAACTATCTCCCATAATGACGAGACTACCATTCATCAGAGTAAACATCTCAACAATGAACTATATCCAATCATGACGAGACTATCATTCGGAGTAACAAATCTCAACAACGAACTATCTCCCATAATTATGAGACTATCATTCATCGGAGTAACAAATCTCAACAATAAACTATCTCCCATAATGACGAGACTACGATTCATCGGAGTAAAAAAATCTCAACAATGAACTATCTCCCATAATGACAAGACTACCATCCATTGGATTAAAACAAATCTCAACAACAAACTATCTCCCATAATAACGAGACTACCATTCATCAGAGTAAAAAATCTCAACAACGAACTATCTCCCATAATGATGAGACTACCATTCATCGGAGTAATAAATCTCAACAACAAAATATCTCCCATAATAATGAGACTACCATTCATCAGAGTAACAAATCTCAACAACGAACTATCTCCCATAATGACGAGACTATCATTCATCGGAGTAACAAATCTCAACAACAAACTATCTCCCATAATGACGAGACTACCATTCGTCGGAGTAACAAGTATCAACAACAAACTATCTCCCATAATTACGAGACTACCATTCATCGAAGTAACAAATCTCAACAACGAACTATCTCCTATAATGAAGAGACTACCATTCATTAGAGTAAACATCTCAACAACGAACTATCTCCCATAATGATGAGACTACCATTCACCGGAGTAACAAATCTCAACAACGAACTATCTCCCATAATGACAAGACTACCATTTATCGGAGTAACAAATCTCAATAATGAACTATCTCCCATAATGACGAGACTACCATTTATTAGAGTAACAAATCTCAACAAGGAACTATCTCCCATAATGATGAGACTAACATTCATCGGAATAACAAATCTCAACAACAAATTATCTCCCATAATGACGAGACTAACATTCATCGGAGTAATAAATCTCAACAACACATTATCTCCCATAATGACGAGACTACCATTCATCATAGTAAAAAATATCAACAACAAACTATCTCCTATAATGACGAGACTACCATTCATCGGAGTAACAAATCTCAATAATGAACTATCTACCATAATGACGAGACTACCATTCATCAGAGTAAAGGAAATTAATCTCCTATGGGAACTAACAGACTTATAGGGGAAGCACAGGTTGCTCAAATAAAGATATATATCATCTGCTGTTATAAGAAGCCTGTTAAGGAAAGAAAAATAACTTCACTGGGGAAATGTCCATGTAATCCTTTTGAAGAGGTAAAGTCTTCTCGTGCAAAATAAATGCACATTCTCAATCCAGGGCTCAAAGCCTGCAAAAATCAATAATGATAATGTTGCCAGGGACCACAAATTCAAACCTGAAATAAACCGAAGTGAGACAGTCAACCAAGATAGCCCCTACTGAGAAATAAACTCAAAAGGGAACCACGTTCCATCCAGATAATGATCTGAAAAGGAAGTGTGATCGGTGGAAATAGAACTGACTGTTTTTTAAGCTGGTTCGC